GAGGCCATATTAAAACTTTGGTCCCTAAAATTTTCAAGGCAAACTATAAGATCAGAGGAAAAGCTTGGTAAATCTGTTACCAGTGCGAATTTTCAGATCGAACATTACTGCATAGAAATATTAAAAGCCTAAAAATAATAAATTATTTACAATGTTAAATAAGACAATTTCTTAATTTTTTTCCCAATCCTGTTCGTCTTTTGTTTCCCAATCTTGCTCTTCTTTATTTTTTTTTTTTGATAGCAAGAGTTTAGTGTTCAAGCTTGTCAAAACCGTGAAAGCTGCACATTGCAAAAAAATATTCCGGAAGAATTTGTAAATAACGATTATAGTCAGGACTTATTTACTTTTTCTCCAGTTTTTTCTTGATATTAGATTACCTTAATTTGTATAACTTGTGCAAAAAGAAGACATGTGTTTCTTTCTGTTCTGGCAATTTTAACAGAATAAGATACACGTTCCTGAGAAAATTTTCAATATCATGGCTTCATTGGTTAATGATGATTTTAGTTTATGATAACTTTCGCCTTCGGACTATGCGGCCAAGATAAAAATTTATGGAAGGTGATATTCGACCTAAGTGATAAAATTTTGTCAAAATTTTTTCTAGTCGTTGTTTCTGGATATGTTTTATTTCCACTACCTCAGTCAACTTGTTGTCATTTTAGTAGAATTTGATTTTAATCATAATTTGCAGTGGATTCTATCGACAAATCTCAAATCTCATTTAAATATATGGTTCCATTTGAGTTACAACATTTTGAATTTTTGTCACAGTTTCTGCGACATATCGCAAAATTCTCAATCGCTACAATTCTTAAATGGAAACATTCTTAGATCAAATTTTTAATTCGTTGACGGAATCCGCTATGAATTACGATTAAATAAAAAACAAAACAATTTCAGAGGATGGCACTTTAGAAATGTTTCTGTCAATACCAATTGCAATTTTTAAAAACGTTTTTGACGAAAACTCATCACTAGGGTTCAATCCAATATCACCTTCCATAAGTTTAATTTTGCTTCCATGCTCTGAAGTTGGCAGTCAACATAAATCATAATTATCGATACATCACTGCATCGCTTTTTTTACGGCAAATTTCTCTGCTGAACTAGGTACGAATACGAATTGCATATATATCGTTCGTTCAAGCCTTTACGGTTTAATAAAAGGCTTATTAAAATAAGCTTCCCTGTTTCAGAAATATGCAAGTGGCTCTTTTCGTCGATAATACATAAAGTACCAACCGTTCCCATACATTATTTTATCTAACTAGAATTTTTAATTATCTTTCACGAACCTGATTCAGAAAACCAATCCCAAACATGTTCACAGTGCTGTAGTAAATGTTGTAAAGCGTTCAAATCTTTCTTCGGTATTAAATAAAGTATAACGATGAAGAACTGTTTGAAACCCTTACACATACAAAACTCTTCAAATTCAAATAGTACAGAAATACTATGCAAACTCTCATACTTTGAAAAAAATCAAGTCACATGAATCTTGAAATTCAAATTTAAACTGTTGGCCACATTCGAAAATATCTTTTGAACTTCAGCTAACCATTCTAAACTCAATATAGTCACCAAATATTTAAGAGTACTGCAAAAACATTAAAACGTTTCGCGCTATGTTTAATGAGTTGCAGTTTAAATAGCTACATAGCATTTTACATAGCTATAGTGAATGATCAAATAGCTACACTGAATGATGAAATAGCTACAGTAAACAAGAAATAGCTGTGAGATAATTAAATAGCTACAGAAGCAAGAAAGTAGCTAAGGAGTACTATGAATAGCTACAGTGAACGATTAAATAGCTACAGTAATGATTCAATAGCTGTGTGAAAATTAAATAGCTACAGAAACGATAAAGTAGGTAAGGAGTACTATGAATACGTACAGTAAAGATCAAATAGTTACAGTGAACATTAAATAGCTACAGTAATGACTAAATAGCTGTGTGAAAATTAAATAGCTATAGAAGCGAGAAAGTAGATAAGGAGTACTATGAATAGCTACAGTGAAGATCAAATAGCTACAGTGAACATTAAATAGCTACACTGAATGATGAAATAGCTACAGTAAACAAGAAATAGCTGTGAGATAATTAAATAGCTACAGAAGCGAGAAAGTAGGTAAAGAGTACTATGAATGGCTACAGTGAAGATCAAATAGCTACAGGGAACATTAAATAGCTACAGTGAACGATCAAATAGCTACACTGAATGGTGAAATAGCTGCAGTAAACATTAAATAGCTACAGCAGAGATAGAGTAGGTAAGGAGTACTATGAATACATACAATAAAGATCAAGTAGCTATAGTATAGATCAAATAGTTGTGCGCAACTTTACATAGCTATGTGTTACATGCAAAAATCTCTACTGAAATCTCACAAAAACAAAAAGTATCTCTCTTGAGAATGAGCCATCGGAACCCACCCGACCCGNCAGCAGAGATAGAGTAGGTAAGGAGTACTATGAATACATACAGTAAAGATCAAGTAGCTATAGTATAGATCAAATAGTTGTGCGCAACTTTACATAGCTATGTGTTACATGCAAAAATCTCTACTGAAATCACACAAAAACAAAAAGTATCTCTCTTGAGAATGAGCCATTGGAACCCACCCGATCCGACTGGAATCCAATGGGATTCTATCGGATCCTGTCAGATCTTGCAGAGTTAACGTTGGATTCCGGGTCGAGGAATCGATGTCGGATCCTCAGTGTCGGATTCCTATGAATTCCAAGGAAAAACCGTTGGATGTCATCCGAAGTTCATAGGATTCCGACACCGAAGATCCGACATCGATTCCTCGACCCGGAATCCAATAGAATTCTATCGAATTGTATTATATTTCCAGGTTCCTATTGGATTCGATGTCGGATCAGTCGATCTGGGGGGGGGCATACTGTGGTACATGTCGACACATGAATTTTAGAATTTTAGGTTTTGGGGAGAAAGATGGGGTGATACAAGTAGGTACATACCAAGTTAAACGAAACGGGTAGAGTATATTGCGGGCCGTTCGGTGCAAGTTGTACTAGTATTTTTGCACCCCTCCATTCCGTTGAAAAAGATGAAAAAATAGCACACTTACAAATAGTAATGAGTTCTGGAGAAAAAATTTGTACATAATGTCAATCGCAAAATTCAACGCAAGAATGTGCGTAAAAAGAACAAACAGAAAAGGAAAAAGTTGAAATCGATGTGAAGTCACCATGACAACCAATAGAAATGCAGCTAAAAACAACCAATCATTGACGCTCCATGCTTTGCCATTCCGCATTCATAATTTACCATCATCGACCCTGTGGCCGCTCACTTTGTCGCAATCACTTCGTCGCAGAACAGTTCGTCGCACGACACTTCGTCGCAGAAAAATTCTTTTCGTTCTGTTGTTCTTACCTATTTGTCGCATCTCTCTTAATAAATTATATGTTTTGTGCATAATACACATAACATAATGAGGAACAGATTGAGAATAGAAACAGTCTAAAGGAAAAAAATTACCTAAAGGTAATGTTGCCTGCTATCTTTTTTAAGATATGGTCTAGTTGAGATAAGTCGAGGGAGTTGACCGGTTGAATTTTAATATCACTTTTTAATTAAATAATCGGAAAACGATCGGGTTTTGGAGCATGGGAGTGTGATGTTGGTGGTGAGAGAATTGTCTTCAGGAATAAATTCGTATAACAACGACCTTCATTGATAAATGATTTTTATTTCAATTAATTGATTGATATTCAAAACGATTTTAGCTTTACAATCTCAATTCAGAGATCGAAGAATAAATTTAGTCGTTATTGTACGTTTTTCAGTATAGATGTCACCTTCTTGGAGCATCATTGTTTTGTCTTTTATACAAAACAGCTTTTCTATTTGAAACACTTTGCTTGAAAACTAGTGCGTAGTGAAAATTGAAATTAAGGAGTGAAATGTATTTTTTTATTTGACTTATAGTCCAATAGTTAAGAATGTCAGACCAGTATTATTTTTAGTTTGGATTACACAGGAATTCCTGAATCGAGCGACGAATCTAATTAGTCCTCATTAGCTTTAGCACTATCACAATTACATGAGAAAATGTTTTTTAATTTATCCTTTCATCCAATTAAAATTATATGTCTCAGCACAATTAATTATCTATCCCTATTTTACATATCTCTTGCAATATTTCATTTATTTTACGTTATTTCCATTGGTTGTACACAAAACATATGATTTATTAAGAGAGATGCGATAAATAGATAAGGACAACAGAAGGAAAAGAATTTTTCTGCGACGAAGTGTCGTGCGACGATATGTACTAGTGCCAAATTAACAGATGGCTCCCTATTACTATCAATGGAGAAAATATTTACACTCTTTTCGATTCAAAATTCAGACTTCAGTGCTTTAAAGGGTGTGGGTACGGGTGCCTGCCTCCTTTTCAGATACACCCACACCCCTTCGAAATCCGAATATGATTCCAGTGCCAATGATGTAACTACTATACAATTCACTTTAAGCTAATCAAATAAGATTCATAGGGAGGCAAAACGAGTAACTTATTATTCTCATTTTAGAATCACTCGAATAGTTCCACAAAATAAAACCATCTGAAAAGTCCTTTAGCAGGGACGAAACGCGTCGTGGTTGCTGTTCAAAACACACCCACACTCTCAAGATATTAGATTATTGGGAAAAGTTTTCATTAAGTCTCATAATTCTCTTTTGAATCTGCAGACTTCAGTTCATCAATTGCACATCATTTATTATTATTCCGAATTTCCCTGATGAGTCTGGTGAGTCAGGACAAAAACTGCCGTAAATAGCTCGGAATAATCTTCTGAAAATCTACCGTCACCCTCACTCTTATTCCCTCTCATTGCGTGAGAAATAATCACTAGTTTCCTATAAGTTGAATAGGTTGCATTTTCAATAATGGATGATTCAAAGAAAAAGCCGCAAAAATTCTAGTCTTTTCCTCATTTTCATGTGAACTGCCGAAGCTCAAAGGCCCCGAACATGTGTGTCGGGTACCACTCGAAAAATGCGCTTGGTGTGATGGTCAAGACCGTAATGGTCACGTGCTGCGGGGCGTCGATAACCTCCTGAATCATAGATCTTGTCCCGATGTAGCAGTATAATATGCGATTGAGTAACAAAGCCAGTACTATCTGGGTCGCCCAGAATTTCCTCTGGATTATAGGTGGTATAGAAGCTGAGGGCGAATAAGTCATCTAAAGCGATCAGTTCTTCGATGTAAAACTTCAGTTTACGTGCATCGTGTGGACAATAGGCCAATTTCATCCCATATGGCTTCAGGGCAGCTGACCAGGACACAGGATCTTGCGTGTTTAAGTTGCCTTGGAAATCTTCGGGTTGCCTGCCGGTAAGCATGGCCAAACAATTAGATACGCAGGTGGGACCTCGCTGACTGAGTCGCCGAATGGTAAGGTCACGAAAATAGTGTTCCCCTTCATTTGCTGGCCAGAGAGGGGTGTCTCGGTCACTCTTAAATGTTGACATTGCTCAGCACGGTGAATGTATCTGAAATATATGTTTTTTTTTGTGTAAGACCGCACACAGGGGTGGATCAATGAAGAAAGGATATATCCTGCAATTCTTGGTTTTTTCCTTCCTCTCACTTTCGATGAACAAACAGAAAATGAATATATATGCTTCAATCAGGATTCGAACCCAAGTTGCGATAACTGGTTGACAGGACCGTTGCTCTGACCCTTGAGCTATCGAAGTCCGACGAACATAATATTTCATTTCTGAATGATATTTAATCGTCGAAAATATTTTAACGTCGATACGATGTATACGACGCACATGGATAAAGCGACGCTATTTATAACCATGTAAAGATGATCGTAAATGTTCTCCTCTTGTCGAGGGTAAATACATGTGTATGGATGGAAAAAGAGTTTATCTAACTATATAAAGCAATACTTCATTTTTCACGTCCTTTCACTTTCGACGATTAAATATCATTCAGAAATACAACATCATTTTCATCGCGCTTGGATACCTCAATGGTTAGAGCACTGGTCCAGTAAACCAGATATCGCATCTTGGGTTCGATTGCGGATTGAAGCATATATATTTATTTGTTGTTTCTTCATCAAAGTGGAACGAACGGAATATCCAAGAATTTTATGATATATACCCGTGGAAAGCAAAGTTGGACTTTGTATTTCGAATATATTTGTACTAAAGAAGTACTTTTAAAAAAATACAAATTACATATTCTGAAAGTCCGTGGAGTTCTCTTTCATGTTGTATAATTATGTTTTTATTTAGATCTATTCGTTACCGAAATAAATTGCATACAACGAAGACACCCCTATGCCACGATCTCCAAAGATTTTATTCTTTTTCTCCCATCAAAATTAGTTCTTTGAATTTTTCATCCATATAGGATTACCTATTTAAAAAAACAGTTTTAGATTCTGATAGAGCTTAACAATCTCTATCATGCCATATATTGGCTTATTTTTTTATGTTCACTTGTTTTAACAAAAACTTTACTACAGTAAACATGTCATCAATTGACAAATATCTAAAATCGGTATTTTTCGTTGCTGTTGGTGCTCTCTTTTTGCATTTATTATTTTTTTGCGAAAATGTTTTTGAATAAGCAATTATATATTCTGGTAGAGCTTGAAATACTCTATCATTGTGCACTTTTGAAACAATAAACGAGAGAGTGAATAAAAAAAGCTACTTGCATATCGAGGTTGTCAACAAGTTTATCGATGTAATATTCAAATTATTCTCCAGCACACCAATGCAAGATAATTAAAAAACGTGCAGGGTGATAGAGTATTTCAAACTCTACCAGAATATATAACTGCTTAATCAAAAAAAGTTTCTGGTAGTAGTAACAAATTCAAAAAGAGAGCTGAAAACAACGAAAGACGCAAATAACTATTTGTCGATTCAGAATTGTTTCATTGTACTTAAATTATTTGTCGCTAGGCAAACGCAAGAAAATAAGAAAGAAAAGAAAGAAAGAATACCCTTGCCTTGCGGCTACCTTTCAGTATAGGGTAGCTGCCCGGAGACAGTTTCAAGAGCCCCGATATTTTTCCTACAACTATTACTAGCTGCAGCTCTGGACAGAAGGCCGGCCTGACTCAGAGTTCCTTCCGCTTAATTACTTAAGCTTCCCATGCATACTGACTAACCACATACTATCCACGAGGATATTTTTATGTATGTCACATGTAATCAGCGTGCTATCGGATGGGTGATCCGAGACAAAGCAGCCGTTAGTAACTTATCCAAGGTTATTCTATGGATGATGGCNATACTATCCACGAGGATATTTTTATGTATGTCACATGTAATCAGCGTGCTATCGGATGGGTGATCCGAGACAAAGCAGCCGTTAGTAACTTATCCAATGTTATTCTATGGATGATGGCGCCGAGGTTTGAACACACTATCTTGTGGATATGTGCCGAACATCTTAACCATCCAGCCATAGCGGCTTAAGAAAATAAGCAAATATATGGGGTGATAGAGATTTTTAAGACAGGGTCCGCGGAACCACTTAGCAACTTTACTAGGAGTCGGCCGCAGGTAAAATTTTGATTTTCGATTTAACTATTTTAAATCGAAAGTCTAGTCAAACCATAAATGAATCCAAAATATTAGGTCTTTCTGATGTGCCGGAGAAAAATGTCAGCGCTAGCAAGTTATACACCACTTACATTTGGTAAAAAAAGTGAAGTTTTTAGGGTGTCAGCAGTATTTTATACTTTCCTCCGCGTTCGCTCATTCGTTTGACTTCGGGAATGTCTCAAAAGATAGAGAAATGCTTTCTCTACAAAACGCAGTGGTTAATTTATTTATCCAACACCACATATCAGTAGATACTACCAATATACAGACAAAAATTTCGATTGGTTAAAATGAGGATTTTTCAGTATTTTGACAATACCCACGCTGAATTATGTCATCCCAAATTAATTTGCATATTTTCTGAAAGCCCTTTGAATTGTGCATCTCCTCTGGTATTGCTTTTTCAGATAAAAGTTGAGCGAAAATAGCTAATCTACACGACAAATGTTGACATTGGATAGTTTCTCTGTTCAATCGGATGCAAGATTAGCTGAGTATATTCTGTATGATTGCCCAAATGCAAAATTTGATTTCAGATTCGTGATTGGCATGAAAATTTGATCATAAAAATATCATTTGCTTGAATACATAGTTATTTCAGATAAGAACACCTACAGCGTAGCAACAATTTGAAGCATTTTTTCGGAATACTTTCTGGTATGTCTCTCTAATCACTAAGTCAGAGATCTAAAAATAAGAATTTTGCTTTACTTAGAATCTCTGAACACTTAGCTCGAAAATCTGCTTTTTACTTTTCTCGGTTCATACTTTACCGTTGAGCAAATTGAACTTTTCTTGATGCTGTCGAAAATCGATATAAATATGTTAAAATTGCTATTATTTATGGATGTGGGTGTCAGAAGAAGTCTCCTAATCACACCACACCCACACCCTGCGTAGATTAAGAAATCCAACGAGAAAATAAAACGTTAAATTCCATTATCTCCGTATTGTTATTCATATTTCGTATCTTTTGGAATTTGCTCTTGGAAGTTTGTTTAAGATAACATATGCTAATAAAAACCTTCTCAAGAATTATTACCAGTCACTTTTATTTCAAGTTAATATTATCTGGTTTTATTCCCTCGACTGGAAGGAGGGTCATATGAAATAAAATGCGTTTGTTTGTTATCTTGCTTGCTTGGGGTTAAAAAAACATATATCAGAGATTTGCTTATTTTCAGAGTTTTCCCTGTTTTGACGGCATTTTGCCATAGGTTATCGAGGGCCCTGAATCCAAATCCGAAGCCCACTTCTTTGGCCGAGGTTTCATTGGTCGGGAAGTGACCAATCAGAAATGATTCTTCTCATTTAAGGCTTTTGGCCGTTTTCATCGAACTTTGCCATAGGTTATCGAGGGCCCTGAATCCGAAGCCCACTTCTTTGGCTCAGGTTTCATTGGTCAGGAACTGACCAATCGAAAACGAACTTTGTTATTTTAAGGCTTTTCAAGGTTCTGATTGAACTTTGTTATTCCCTAGACTGAAGGGAGGGTCATAGGCACGCAAATGAGTGTGTCTGTCTGTCGATGTATCAATGGCAGGTTGAAGGTCAAGGAATAGATAAAAATGTTAATAGAATTTCTCGGTAGCTGCATTCAGTCAATCAGATGTTTTTGGGGTATTGGCTCTCAACGAATAAAATTTTGCGATGGCTTTTCTAGGTAGGGGAACGTCTTTTCGGAGTAAAGGATGACATTCTATGAAGGTTGACGTTAGGGAATCGGCGTCAGGAAATCTGAATCTGAAGTGCTTTTTTTTTGTTTTGAATTTTGAGTGTTGATTGCTGGGGTGAAGTAAATTAGGGATGTAACAATCACAATGCTTCCAATGCCGACGAAGACGAATGACTCGGTTCAGTGTCGGTATTGTTTCATAAGTAATTGAACGGTTTCCTCAAGCAAGCGAGGGGTTTCCAGAACTTTCATTGAAATGAATCGTGCGTTAGAAATATAGATTTAGAGTTAGTAGATTTTAAATTTCGGTGGGGATTTTATGAATGAAAGAGCTTTTATGGAAAATATTGACTTACGCTGGGCTGAAGGCAGAATGTTACTTGGAAAGCTGAATAAATTTGTAGAGGAATAGTACGCAGATATGTGCAGTTTCTGTTATTGAGAACTTACGTGACGAACAAGCGGTTCACTGAACACTTCAGACGCCATAGCGCTCTACACTAAAGCAGAGATGACTTTGGTGCATCGATTTATTTTGTTACAGTTCTGTCTACGATATGAGTGAATGGTAGTATCCTAGTGTTGTCAATGTTTCAATGAGTGCTTATCGTAGTGTCGTTGGCTATGGTGAACTTTATTGTAGAGGATCTCGCTGATTTGTAAATTTAAACCGCACGTCCCTATGAAAACGGTGATTTCGAAAACATTGAAAAAAGTTATTTTATCTATTGATAGTATGAATAGAACCCTGCTACTTCCGGTTTTCAATTGAGGATAGTTTTCACTGGTGATCTAGTTTAAAAAGAGCAGCAGCTAGCCGTGAGTGGTCCCCCGAAGGGGTGCCAACGAACGACTAGCTGCTGGCAAAGCAGGCTTATGATAGTTTTCGAGAATTATAGAGCATTTTCACACTATTGTCTCGTTTATGTTTTGTTTCTTGATTCTTTCTGCAAATCGAATATACTGTCTTTTCGAACCCTGTGGATATTGCTGTACTTTTGTGAGTCATACAGATTTACTTCTGGCATTACTGATAGATAATCAGTTTAGTTGAATGACCAGTATGGCAATCAGTATCCAAGGATACGCATGACTTTCCACACGCCGGCACAGATTTTTATATTAATATTCGCTCTCAACACAACCCGATACATGCGTCAGTTGCTAACTTATGAATGGAGTGTGTAACACCAAAACTTTCGAAACAGTCAAATATTCAGTCGAGGGTTAAGCGAGTCACGCAGACGAGCGTTACTTGTACTATATAAAACGAAATAAAGAATTCGAAAGATTAGGCACACATTTTTAAATACTTCACGAAAATTCATACTTGCTTGTTTGAAAGCAATTTAGAAATCGCCACCCCCTCTCGAAAATCCTGGATCCGCCGCTGGCAGTATGAGGCTGTGTGCCTACTACTTTGCTATACTAACACTAAAGAAAAGAGTTTCTTGTACTTCGCAATTTTTCTGTGGTGATAAAATAGAAAACTTTTACTTCTATTTCATATTTTTTTATATTGATATCATAACTAACAGTTAGTTGTATATATTACTTCATTATATTAAAAATATAGAGAATCCCATTTATAGATTTTTACTTTCATATATTAACGATATCAAAAATATGAACTTTCACTTCTTATTCGCTCTATTGATAGTGTAGAAAATCTTAATTTTCATATATATATATATATATTTGCTATATTGATAATAAGGACGGTATTAATGTTTACTTCTTATTTTTCAGCTTTAGCAATGTGAAAATGGCAACTTTTTATTCGCTATGATGGAAAAAAGAAGAAAGGATAAATGTCGAAGAAAATGATGAAAAATATCGAAAGGGAAAATAGCGACAGAAAAAATGTCGCAAGGAAAAATAGCGAAAGGAAAAGAAAGTCGCAAGAGGCCGCTATAATGGAATGAGTAAACATTTGTCTTTTGATTGGCTCCTATCATTTAACGTACTCATAATTCAATCGAAGACATAATAATTGGTTTTCATTATTTTAGATAGAATGACTACTCTACCTCATACAATTTCATTCGTTATGTCTCAAAAGAGGAAAAAATGCTGAATATCGACAATTTCATCTTTAAATTGAATAAAACGACAAGTACAAAAAAGTATTATCGATGTGTAGATCCACATTGTACGGTGACAGTACATACAGATTAGGGGTGGCACTTTATCTTTACTTTACCGGGTAAAGTAGAATGTGTATACTTTACTTTACTCAGTAAAGTAAAGTAGTTGACTTTACTTTACCGGGTAAAGTAAAGTAGATCTACTTTACCCGAATAGTAAAGTAAAGTAAAGTAAAGTAAAGTAGTGAAAATTCCAAATTAATTTTTGATTTTTATCTCGCCGTTGGCGCATCGACAACTTCGCAAAAAATTAATCGATACTTAAAATTTTGTCTTTATTGTTAATTTGAGAATAAAAATTGAACAATTTGTAAAATAGATAGTTTGCATATACACATAAACTCGAAGTTTATCTTGATTCTATATGCTAGAGAGAATATGTTTTATCGGTATTTTTGAATAAGGCTGAATTGTGGTGGTGAAAAGTGAGTATTAATAAAACTTACTGTGCATTCTCGTTGTTCGCCAACGTAAGTATAAAATATTAAAAGTAATATCATAGGCATGAGATTTTCTATGATTTTTAAAAGAGAAGTATCTGAAAACCTCGATCAGTACACTAAATAGCTATGCATCGAGAAGTTCTTGAATATCCTTGTGCATTTACTTTAACTGATGAATAGGCTTACTGATGTAATACCCTAAGACTGACAATAGTACTCATATACTCAAAATAATGATAAAGAACTGATTAACTGTAGAAATAAAGCATATGTTGTAGAGGAAATTAAAATCGTTCGTGAATTTTAATTTGCTCTTGGAGAATTAAAAATTTAAGTTGTTCTAGGGCAATTTAAGATTGACCTAGAGTTTTTATTTCCCCTTCAACATATACTACATATATTATAACGACATTCTAGTGTCACAAAGCAAAGGTATAAGTGATGATATGTTGAGAATAATTTTGAAAGCCATTCCTTGACTAAGATAATTTTTTCATACAAGCTTGAACCTATTTTATTTTGAGAAATCAATCATATAAAACCAGTAAAAAGGTCTTATTATTTTACATTTGATTCTTCTAATTCCTAATTTACACAATTTTCTAGAAAAATACTGACAGACAAAAAAAAACAAAAAAGGTGAAAAGATAAATGTTTGCTTATTCACGTAAAACCATTGAATATCTCAAAGCTGTTGATGAAAGTGATGATCGGGCTTTGCGTTGCAAGTATCCTGCAATGCTAAATGCCGACTCACTGGGAACACTTGTTGCAGGTATACAATTGTATTTTTTAACAAACTGTGACAGTTGAGGAAGAAGCATTTCGTGCTGACACCAGTATTCACTGAATTTAGAACTTGAACCGGCCGTAGACATATAATGACACAGCTCTTCTTTAAATGATAACTGCTTTTTGATGGAATTTGTTGTTACGTTGGATGCTGAAGGCCTTTTTCACATGCGAAAAAATTCATCCAAAGTTAATTTTTCTTGAGGTGTTGTACTATTTTGAGTACGTTGGTGCCCTAATGGTGTTGATGTTGACATTGACATCGTCGTTGTTACTGAAGTATCAATTTGTAATCGATCAAATGATTGGGTAACATCAAATTCTGATAAAAGTGTTCTTTCAGATTCACCAATATCTTCATCAGTTAAATATTGATAAGATGTTGGATCTAAGAAAGCTGCAATCTAACAAAATAAATAAAATAAATAAATATTGAATTTCTTTGCATAAAGAAATTGTCAAACTTATGGAGCTATCTAATATACATATTCGAAGATCTGATGTGCAATAAAATATTGCTCTTATGTTTAGTCTATTTTTTAGAAAAAAATACAAATAAAATATGATAGATCACATGAATCGTATTTCTTTTTTCAAGAAACATGGTTCGTAAAACAAGTTCTAAATTACTCGTTTTTCTGATGATTTTTTTGCAAAATATTATTTAAGAAGATTATCGAACTATATAGAGTAGGAATAAGCACATTTGCTAGATATAATGACTAACATTATAATAGAAACGTCACAAGCTGTGGCGAATTTTATGCATGTTTGCCCACAGACTACATTTATTGCGCCTCTATATAATACACTAACTATGTGCCTTTTAACATTTCAGAAAGACTAAGTAAGAATGTGCTGTAGAAATGTGTTAAACAATTCAGAAGAAAACAATCGCCAGAGGATTCGTAAAATCAGCTATACTGAGTTTTACATTTTAAGTAAGCGCGAGGACTTTACTAAGAGATTTTCTCGAATACAAAAAATTTTTTCGAGTTAACAATAAAGTATACAATTATATTAACTTATATTATCCTAGCTCAAAAAGTGCTTTTTTCTAAAAATTATTGATGTCTTTCAAAAAATCGATAACTTTAATAAATGTAAATCAGTTATACATACTAAAGTTGCACGTTTTTGGTCCCAACTAATTTCTTGCTCAAAATAGTAGCTAAATTTAGCTAGTAACAACTGTTTCAACGAATTTTCTAATGGTTGATCATCTTTGCTTTTTGTTAAAAAATTTTTCAATCCTGTTGAAACTGAATAAGCAATAGACAGGGTTGGATATTTTGATCCTGAAAGCAGTGTTGTTGCACGATAAAATGGAAATAAAACATTTTTTAATGCTGCCAATATGGACCAATCAAATCGAGAAAATGATAACTGTTGAAGTTTTTCATATTGCTTTTTTTTCAAGCCAATTTCAATACTAGGTAATACTGTGATATCAGTAATAATAGAACTTAATGCAATGAACCGTGATATCATGGTATAAGTTGTATTCCATCGAATACGGAAGTGCAAAACAGCATTGTTTAGTTTAACTGGTTTAAGGTTTTGTTCATGTGCAGATCGAACGATTTCTATATTCTTTAATCGTATTTGATTTCGAATATAACGATAAAGTACACTTGATTTTCGAATAAATCTAACTAATCTTCTAACACGTTGTAATAAATTGTAAACGATTAACGATAAATCACTGGGGTTAGCAGTAATACCAATAGTTGTTTGTTCATCATTTTGGCGTTGTTTGCTACCATTTAGTGGTGATAAATCTTCATCGTCGTCTTCAACTTCATCATTATCACTAATATCCGATGCATTTTCATCAGATAATATATCGGAAGTACTATCATCCTTTGAAAAATCATGTTGATCAGAAATATCACTATCATAATCATCGTCACTAACATCTTCATGTACTTCTTCATTATCATCAACACTTATTGCTTCATCATCATCATCATCGTCACTATCAGTTTGTTTTGAATCAGTTGTATTTGATGAAGATTTAAATCTGTGAAAAAGAAAAAAGTTTGAATACATTTAGATTTTACGATTTACTATCAATATTTTTGTTAGATTTTTTTATCCATGAGAGATAAATCTAGTATGAGGAAGCTGTAATACAAACTACGACCATTCAAACGTCTAGGCACATTCGCAAAAAATAGGACGTATTACTTAATTGCTATTAATAGAATGATCGATAGAGATTTTTACTAGAAAAGCAGCACATATGACAAACAAAAGTTGTTTGAGACACTGTAACGATTAAATGCAGAGAGCGTCCAAATTCCATCCGGGGGTGTAATGCTCTCGTTCGAGTGTAACCTATACATAAGATTTGGTCTTATGGTGCCATTTATTCTCATCACACCTATTGCCTCTATCTTTCTGTCCTTTACATTTGTCTTTATCTATCCTTCTTCTTCGTTCTCTCAAATGGTTGAGTATTTAAGCGTGTGCTTTATATGTAATCGATGCGATTTATGATTTGAAGAGTTAAGTAAAGTGTAATACCATCAACACAGGCATCTCTTCTATCTAAAATCGTCACAGACACTATCTAAAAATCCTTGGCGAAAAGTAAAGACTCATGATGAAATTCGAGAAGAATTTTCGCAGATAGTGGAGCACAGATTTGCAATATATCTGACTGATTTAATTACACACATTTTATGGAAGTTAACTTATTTTTTCTCTAGGTAAATAATCAAAGATTAAACATTTTTATTTCAATTAAATCGATGAAATATATATGACAGTTATTATTATGTCCGCCTATTAAATACCAGATAAATATGAAAAAAAATACAATATCCTACACTCCAGAGCTTCTTAGAACAGCACAAAAATTACTCTTTGATAAATGTTTTGTAAATACCACTCTCAACCTTTTATTTCACCTACTTTTCTTTCATCCTCATCTGTTACAACATTGAAAGCTCAATTTGACAAAAGAAATTCATGGATTCTTTCGCTTGTGAGTAGTCTGATATTAAATGCACGTGAAGGGCTGCAATAGAATAATCGTAATATTTTATATTATTTCTCTTCAAGCTTTAAATATATTTCAGCTTTATTTGCTGGAACTTTACTTTATTTATTTATGTAACCTTAATATAAAACTGAACTGCTAGCTTACTTTTTTGATTTTGTTTTATTAAATAACCATAAGGCATTTTTCACAACCAAATTCAGATTGTGTGCTGCACACGATAATCGCATACCAAATGTAGTACCTAATGTAGCGGACTTAATATCAGAACCACCGTCAGTTGTTATTGAAGACACTTTCAATTTTAAATTCATTTTTCGAAGTTCATTATCAATAAATGATCTAAATTTTTGACCAGTGTGTTTATCATCAAATCGTCGAAATGATAAAATGAAGGATTCATTAACATATGATGATGTTAGGATGTGGCAAGTCAAGCAAATGAAAAATTCATTATTTGGACTTTTCCATACATCGGTTGTTAAGCTAATGTGTAATACAGATGACAGTTGTTTTTTGATAAATGCTCGACGTTGTTGATATAAAATTCCTAGACGTTTTCGAACTGTTTTTCTATTAGGACCTTGATAACCATATTTGATGACCGATAAAAATTTTTTCATTCCTGATTTTTGAAAATGATTGAATGGAAGACTATCTTGAACAATAGCTTCAATAGCAGCTTCATCAAGTTTTTTCTTTTCATCAATAGATATTAATTTCGATTTTGGCTGTATTTGGTTTTTTTGAGATGGATAAAGAAATTCGATCATTTGATGCATCTTACCCAAATGACTTCGCAAATTAGTATCCGAAGTTTCATTCATTTTACTAAAAACCTAGGAATCAAATCATACTATTAATATTCAAACATAAAAAAAGGTTTTTCTAAAACGTATTATGAATTATCTGGTAATATCTTTTTTTCAACACAATATTTTAAAATATTTAATGAATTAGACGTCTCAGAATGACTATGATTTTATCTACAAAAGGAACGACAACGACGAATTATAATAATCTCTATTGCAGCAAAATTCCATTCAAAGTGAGATTTATAGAACCCTATTGAAAAAGTACCACAAGACAATTTTCATAGTCATTACTAGAATTTTAATCTTCCTTATAAAGATATTATAATTTTGTATGAGTTTCTATTCGTATTAATTTACTAGCTTTAGACTTCTTACAAATAGAAACCGACAGAACATAAAGTACTATCTTTTCAATGATGTTTTTTCATAGCTTACAGAAAAGTATATTTTGGTAAAGAAATTTTCCGCATTGGTCTACAATTATTATATGATTGGTTATAGATTAAAATAAATTTAGAGAAGTAGTTGAATCTATTTATGACGTAAAAAATATTTATATTCTAAAAAAGTTACATCTGCGACATGGACGTGAGATGATGGAGAAGTTTCGAAACGAATATTTTTTATTCTATGCTCTAAAACAAGAACTAATGATGTTTTAATAATTGATACAAACACATAGGCTTTATGAATGTTAAGCATAAGTGCATACATATGAGAAACTTCGTAGATTCTAACCTTTTTGTCATCAATATGGTACTATGCTTTTTTTCTTGAGAAAGAAAGTTGAAAAATATGCGAAATAAGAAGTTCATTATCATGCGCTTTTCAACATGATAAGAAACAGTTATTTGACTTTAGACATATTCTAAAAAAATAAAAGTGCATTAAACACAACACGTTGACTTATTTTTTGAAGAATCTTCACCTTAAGGTAAGTTAACAGCCCGAATTCTAAATTCGATGGAACTATCTTCATGATTGTTAGGTAAAGCCAAATTTTTGATAGTTATGTATGTGTAATGAAATCGATGTAGAAGAAGACCATTCAATAGATAGCAAAAATACTACATCAAATGAAATGTTTTTACTGCCGAAAAACTCTTTTCTATTGACTATGATAAATTTTTATTCACAGTAATCTATGATGGTTTTATTGCTTCTCCTGTTTGTGTCATTTTTTGAGATTTTCTCATTATTTGCATGATTGAATATTATGGAGTGTTACGACCGAAGTGTTCCCCTTCGATCGTAAGACGGAACAAACGAATAATGCACACTCCTTTCTAGTACAGTGGTTAATACGTCTGCCCGGAAAGCAGGAGGTGCATGGTTCGATTCCATGCGAAGGGGGATTATCCTTTTGTTCCGTTCTGTTGTCATACCATCACGTTGCTGTCTCGCTGATAACTGAGTATAATAATGTGAGCGAGAAGAAGACATAACATGGAGTACAGTTCTCCGTTAAATGATGTGTTGAGGCTATCAAATAGGTCGAATCTAAAATAGTTGAATGTTTCTTGCTATGTCTATGAGAAAATTGACTCTTCTTAAGCTGAAATTCACTGATATTTTTAATTCTTGTATATCGCTCCTACATTTACATTCCAGAGTAAGTTGATCTATCGTATCGAGCATGATCTGTCCTTTCAGAAGGTGCCTTACGTCATATTATCGCTACTTTTCACATTCACTTACTACCCATACAGTTGGTGTAGGTATACTCACCGTGAAAAAATTGTTAGCTCTTGTTTAAACAGAATAAGAAAAATAGGGTTCTGAAAGTTTTCTTCATCAATTTGAGTTACTTCTAGACCTAATTATCTAGTCTGTATTCTTTACTTTACAATCTTTCTCAAACGATGTTTCTTTCTTATTTGAAGTATTCACTAGGACGTTTGTTCCTTCTTATACTAATTTATTTTCATAAACAGTTATATTGTTAAAAAATTAATTAAAATGCAAAAATAAAATTAGTTACAAGGCGAACAGCTTACTTTATTTGAATTTTTACACAAAATACATTTAAAAGAACCATCTGGTTGTCTTGTAAAATAATTAAAAATATCACATTTTGTTGCTGTTGTTGTTCGCTTTACTTCATGTGTTTCATCAACAGTTTCAATACTACAGTTTAACAATTGATCTGTTTCATTTTGATTTACTGGATGATTATTTACGATTGGATCTGAAATTATTTCAACGTCATCAAATGATACTGTTGTTCTTTCTGTGGTATCTTGATCCATAGAATCACTTGGTTCATCCGATCGATTCGTGTCATTGTTTCGAGATAAAGTCGATTTTTTCTTTGCTTTTGAGGAATTTGATGGAGTTTTGGCAGAATTACTTCTTCTTAAAATGGGTTTTACAATTTTTCTATTCAGAGTAGGACTTGTTGTTGTTGATTTTGAACTAGCATTAACATGATGAAGATTCTTATTTGTATTTGACACTGGAGTTTGAATTGTTATTGTTGATGAAGTGCTGGATCTTAAATCACGCTGTGGAATGAAGTTTGTTGTTGATTGTGTGTTCGAATCCATTTTTCATATTATCATATTGCATTCATTTATATCGAAATAAACAGTATTGTTCTCGTGTTGTTCAACGCATAATAAGAAAAAAAATTCACAACGTAAACACCACAACGATTTTCTCACGCTTATTACTCGACCGTTAGATACTCGACCGTTAGATACACGACAGCTATACGAAGAGGGCGAACAACAATATGAATGCGTGCTTCAAGCACGTAATTTATTTTCACCCTGATTTTTTTCATTATCCGTGTGAGGAAAATAGTGCCTTGAATTGAATAATGTTCAACGATTTTAATTTAACATTTGTGTGTATGATTTAGGGAGATTTGTTTAAGTTTTCCTTACTTACTTTCTTACAAGATGTGCTTAGACTTATATGACTAAGAGTTGAACAGAGAAACTTTTTATCAATAGCAAGATAGCAGCTTTTTTATTAAATAGAGTAAAATGATTGCATGAATTATATTAAATTAAAAACAAAAAAATAACTGATTATTCAATGTAATCTTTGTCATATCAACTCAAATGATTCTAAGGACATGAAAAACACTCATATCGCTCCTTTTCTCAAGTACTTCTAGAGATATGTCAACGAAGAAAGTGTGATGGGTGTCATGAAAAAGTGAGTTCTGGAAAATTGCACATCAAAATTTTTGAAAGACGGGTACTGATACTGAACTTGTTTTTAATTTTAACATATTTTTTTAAATAAAATACGATTTGAACCGAAAAAATGTTTTGTAAAACTTTGACAGACTAGCACTTACATACGACACACAATCATTATGTCATTGAATATTTAAAACAATACACAAAATATATTAGTGAATCAAAAGATTCCAACTGGAATCATGTGTGAAGTCGATAACAACGAAGAAGTAAGACTGAGAAATAAAATCGTAAAAAATATCTATTGCGTTCTAAAAGAGTCCTAAAATTTTATCATAATCAATTCAGCTTATTTACTCGAAACATGTTAAAAAGATTCATATCCAAGAGATAATAAAATTCGATGTCTTGCATGAAATAACTTATTTTTACTTCAGAAAAAAATATCAAAAATGAAAAGGCATAATTTAAGTATCAATACTAATATTGTAGCTGATTATAAATTAGAGGTTGATCAAATAATTTTCAAAATTTTCTACTTTGTCATGTACGTGTTGATGAAGCTGAATCTGTTTCGCTTTATTGTGACTTGTATTGGTAATGGTAAAGTAAAATGAAATATCATTTCTTCTTTCGTTTATCCTCTTTTACTTAATATTTCAATGTTTTTGACAAAGAAGCTCGAAATTTTCTTTTCTGAACATGTAAACATTTATTCAGCTACTTCTGTTTGAGCAATCATTTAAGTGCAGATTAATTGTGAATATTCGTATTCTGTGAAAAGCAGTTTGATGATGAAATATCAATATATATGCACAATTTTATTGTATTCAGTTTTATATATGTTCTATACTCCGCCATTAGTTAAAAAAATATTTTGAATGATTATTCATATCGCTAAACATTATCTATTGTTGATAGTAAGCTAAGAAATTAATCATAAGCTTCCCCTGAATATATGACTCTACTTTACTTTACTTTACTTTACTATTCGGGTAAAGAAGATGTACTTTACTTTACTTTACTTTTTCAAAGTAAAATAAAGATAAAGTGCCACCCCTAATACAGATGTTGATGATGTTATGCTAAACATTAATGGTGACCACTGTCATCGATGTGAACCAGAAGAAATACAAATTCGAAAATTTAAACAAGCTGTTAAAATTCGTGCTATAAATGAAACAACACCTATCCCTCAAATTTATGACTAAGAAACAATACGAATCGATCTATCAACATTATCAATTGCTTCTTTACCATCACAGAGAGAAATTAGTCAGTGAAAACTTGATTTTCTTTTATCTAAAGACTTTTTTAAGGTAGCACATTAAGTAGAGCACGTCGTCTTCAAACACCTCGTATTCCTGATTCTCAAATATTTGACTTTCCTGAATCTTATACAATAACTTTGAAAAATCAACCTTTCTTATGCATTGATCAAATAATAAAAAGAAAAACACGAGTTTTAGTCTTTGCCTCAAATGAGCCATTGAAGTTATTGTTCAATAGCTCAGTTATTTTAATGGGTAGTACTTTTACATCATCACCATCGATTTTCAGTCAAGTTTATTGCATACATGCAATAAAATATGAACAATGTAAAGATAAATTTATTCTATAAAAAGAATTAATATTTTAAAATTTGTTAGCTTTTGTTTGTGTGTTTGCTCTTTTGCCTGATAAAAAAAAATCCACGTATAATTTTTTGTTTCATGAATTACGTAATAAAGCTGCTCAATTGAATATGATTTTTCATCCAAATACTATTATGTCGGATTTTGAAGAAACTTTAGCAGATGTTATAAAAAGCGATGTATGCATCATCTAATTTCAATTTAAACAAATGCTGTTGTGCTTTCGTTCTTCTAGTTTTCTAATTCTCTTCATGTGGGATGCTATTTCCATTATACACAGGCAATATATCGTAAAAGTCAACGTCCTGGCTTATCTTCTGAATATGCTGCTGATGAAGAAATTCGAAATGCCTGTAGAAAGATTATGGCACTTGCTCTAATGCCTGTATCATTAGTTTTACAAGCATTTGATGATCTTTCTGAATTAGTTCTTGAATCATCAACAATAAAATTTAACTTACTTAAACCTTTATTTCGTTACTTTGAGAATCAATGGTTAAAAAATGTTTATATTCAAAGATGGAATGTTTACGGATTAAAACTTAGAACAAATAACAACTGTGAAGGTTTATAATCTCAACTAAAATAAATATATTTCTTTTTTTTCTAATATCTGTAGGATACCACAACCGTCTTAATTTACGAATATCCAAATATCATCCCAATATTTGGCCTTTATGAGATGTATTCAAGGCGAAGAAAATCGATTTAATCATTTATTAATTCAAATGAAAGGTGGTCTGCAAACACAACCAAAAACAAAAAAAACACAAGCTATTCAACAGAGAATTGATACATTATACATTCGTCGTGATAATGGAGATGTTACTAGTAAAGAGCTTTTGGAAGGATTATCATTTATCGTCGCGAAAAATATTAAACCAAAAAGAAAATAAGCAATCATAATCATTATTTTTTTCATGTGATATTCACCTTTATTTTATATTTACTTCATAAAATTCTTAACAACACTGCGTGCACATCGTTTTTATTTTCAGAAATTTTAACGTTCGATATTTTTCTCTTTTGAAATTTTCTCGTCGACATTTTCTCTTTCGACGTTCTTTTCTGTCTATATTTCATTTTCTATATTTTTCTTCGCCGTTTATACTTTCGATATTTTTCCTTTCTTCCTTTTTCCATCAATTCTTTTATTCATTGTTCTTCTCTGTTCACAGCATGGAAAGCAATATGTTCTCAGGAGAGTAAAGGAAGGGCGAAAAGACTAGTCAAATCTTTAGTCGTGACTATGGGTCCCGGCTAGTCTCTTTCTCAAAAATTCCTCTAACCTGACTAGTCTGAATTCATTGGGAGTCTATGAGACCCGCCAGGACCATCAATGTGACTGAGGTAAGGGGGAAGTGCTGATTTGGAGTCCCAGAACCTCAGTACCGCCTCAGCACCACAGCGCCGTTTCCAATATGTTTTTATGACGTAATTTAGTCTAACTACACGGCGACTATCTAGGGGGGAAAACGTATTTTCGTATTTCTATGTACTACAGAAATACAAAAACATAGAAATGCAGAAATATGTGGAAACACGGAATTACCGAAGCACTCTTTTGCCGCTTCTAGTTCGTGATCGCGAGCTTGAATGGCGAGCTCGAATGTGAGCTCTGTTTTTCTAAATACCCTATTGGTCAGACATGAACCAATCAATATTGAGTTTTCTGGAAACGGTTTCTCATAGGTAAATTGCGGTGACGTGTTCGAATTTTAGCCCTATTATTTTCAGAACCCTCTTGATTGGTCAGAAACTAATAAAAATCATCTTTTCAGAAAAATACCTGCCTATAGGTAAGCCGTAGCGGGGTGTTCGAATTTGAGCACTATTTCGCTGGAAACCCCATTGACCGCCCAGGAACCAAAAGAAATGGAGTATCAGGAAAAATAATTTTCTGTGGCATTTCGAAATACAGACATAGATGGAACCGGTCTAGTTTTTTTGATGACCGGTACTATTACCGGTCTGAAAAATTCAGACCAGACCGGATAGGCCAGTCTACCGGTAAAATACGACAGGATTCATAAAATTTCGTAACTTCTCTTTTCGTGCTAAAGTCAATTTATTTTATAAAACTAATGAATTTTTATGAAGTTTGATCGAAGGCGATGCGAGCCAAGAAATACAGATACTTAATTAGCCCTTCAAAATTCCATACAGAAGCTCTTTACTTTTCAAATCTATGAGAGATTAATAGAAAGAAAAAATCACGCACATAATTGGACAAAATAGATGGTAGATTTGGATTCCTCTCCCTCAATTAACTTCGGTCAAACTTCATGATATCCTACTTTTCTTCAAAGCTTTTCTTTTAGCAGAACAAGGCTAAATTTTCCTACTTTAAGAGTACATTTCCGTTTATGATGAATTCGGAAAAAAGTAGTTATAAACTGGTAACGGACCAGTAACAGACCGGTTTTAAACCGGTACCGGTTCCATCTATAGTATCGATGTAACTATCAAAGCAGATTAGATTTCCCTTACTCTCTCAACGGTGAGATGAATCGAACAGAAGATTGCTACGTGTTTCATGTCGGCTGAGGTCAATTGCCACATGTACAAACATAAAAAGGTAAGACCTTTTTTGAAAAGTAAATGCTAATACATTTTATTTCTATTTAGATCTCATGTCAGAGGAACTAAAAATAATGGTAAGTTTAGTTGTGAAAAATAAAACGTCATGAAATAATTCTATTTTTATTTAGATCAAACGTTCCAGGTCGATCATTGTGCGCAAGAGTTTCTGCCTGATCTAGTCAGTGCATGGTCTACGTGAGCCATACCGATCCGGTTTTCCTCGATTCAGAATAGGTAGAATGAAACCTCGGAAACCCCAGAAGGGTTTTCTCGGAGCCGGTGTTTATAAGACAGAACTGTCTAGCAGTACAGCGGCGTAGCGGTGTAACGGTAGCTAGATGTTACATATCTCTTACAGAGACAGTAGGGCAGGGGAGAAGGTACCCTCCCGCACACCCACACTAGGTACCCTTCCCACACACACATACACTGGGTACCCCACACCCACACTGGGTACCCTTCCCCCACACCTACAATGGGTACCCCACCGTACGGTATAGTAGTATAGCGGTATACTGCTTATACCGCTATACCACTACAGTTTTTATTTTGTCACAAATCGAGATGATTTTAATGAATTCGATTTTGCCACAAATTCATATTCCCCATCATATGCATTTTTGACCTATTAAGCAAGGGATTCATACAGAGCCTGGTTTGTGTGGAACCTAAAATGGTTTAGAATTCGTTGCAATTTCCGGAATGCTTTTAGGTGTTGTGGGGTATCTTTCTGTTCAATGTAGAATTGCAATTGCGCGGCAATGTAGATAATATCAAATAGTGGATATTTATGTAGAAATCGGTTAAAATCGCCCTGTATGATTTCATATAATCACACAAGATTCTACTGTTAAACCGTACACGAAACTTGATGTAAGAACTTACATCAAAAGTCAGAGACGACGATTTTTCGTATGATATTCCGTCTGATCTTGCATGATCATATACGATTCTTGAGTACGATCGGATATGATCATGCAATAATTAATATCTGTTCTTAATGTCAGATTGTTCGACCTGGGGATCCTATGATTTAAATAACTGAACGTATGTCTATTGACTTCTGAAGAACAAAAAACGGACGACCAATGTTTTTATATAACGTCATTCTCTAGCAAGCATAGAAACGTAAATGCTGACGGCTTATATTAAAAAAGACAATATCGATACTGTGGTGGATTATTTATTTCATGAATATTGATAAAAGAGGGTGGTCTTTCACATTGTGTAACCTAAAAAAGGCATTGAAAGGTTCAAATAACGTATATATTTATGTTTCTAGAAGAGTTTCTGCACTTCATGCATGTCTGGAAACTTTTCGGCAAAGCTTTTATCGATACGTTCTGCTTGTTCGTCGGTCATCATTGAACGCCATTTACCGACCCCGCCTTGGCGTACTCTTCGCATGTAGTGGATGTATTCTAAGCTAGTCTTGTCCATAGGCCACGGTGCATCAACGCTTTCGTCGGCTAATGCAATGCGTGCTTGCTTTTCATATGTGTCGTCGAATCTTTCTTTCATATAGTTAAATGAGGAATAAGTCACAATACGTTCCACTAAATCATCAGTGAGTTCGATATTCATGAAGTCAGCGAGCCGTCGAACCACACTCGGCAAATCTCGTATCATCTCTTCATAAGATGTAAGAAATACGTTTGTGTCATTTTTATGCTGCCAGACAGCACGTAAATGCTCAAAGTAACTGCCATAGATAACGTTTCCATTGATGAATTCTTCGACAAACTCATCGAAATCTTTCTGTTTTCCTTGGAATTCAAGAGGATTGAAGAAAAATTGGTAAAAAGAAACACTCACATCCTTTGGGTTTCGCACTACACAAATATATTTAGCATTTTCATGGTAGGGAATACGGCTTAAAGGTATATGAGTTTTAATTGTACATGGTCTATACATATTATCCATTCCTTTTCTGCCCAAAACATCCAGATAAGGCGTACGCGCAAAGAAGTCCGCCATATTATCATCGAATACTTTACCACCGTTCAAAAGAGAATAAAGAATGACTTCCATCCATGTTGTACCTGATTTCGGATATGTATCAATAAAAATATCGTCGGGGCGTGCCTTGTATTGCAATGCTGAAGAGAAGCTATCAGGATTCCACATAATATGAATGGGAATACCATCCACCATTTGAAAATTGAGATGCTGATCAGTCATGTTTACGATAATCTTAGTTTGTGTACAGACTTTTCTCGAGTAATGGTCCTAGAATATTTAGCAATATTATGTTGATTAAAATTGATCAAGCAGTCTTTAAAAAATATTATATTCATAAGTTATACTCGTGCGTACATCTTATTTTATTACATAGATAAGTTTGATGAGAATCAAACATTGGAAAGCAAATGTTGGAAATACTCAAACTTTAGACGATATATAGCCTAGAGTTTTCAATGCTATCATATTTTAGCTGAGATCGAAAATAGTCTATATACAGCAGTAAGCGGAAGGCGAAATGGGAGTTGCATATGCGAGTTATAGGTGTGGCATGTAGCAATAGAAAATTACATAAATAAAGCAATAGATAACCTCCGATAGATTCGAGCGGATGTCATCTAATATACATACACTTCCTTTAAGCAAACCAAACTAGAAGTTACTCAAGGTAAGACTTAACTGTTACTTTACAAGTAAATATGTAAAAAATCTACTTACTATTTGCAAATACCTGGGTAAAAAATTACTAATTATATGTAAATACCTTAAAATGTATTGACTTCACTATATTTACCTAAATTGAAAGTAAAGTAGCTGTTCTGTCCTTAAAAGGGACACAAGAATGGCACTGCAGCGTTCAGTTGAACAACCAAGAGGGTTCACATGAAGAGAAATATCTCAGATAATCATAAAAACGCTAGTACCGACTCTACATTTACCGTTGTTCAACAGCATCCGGAATTTTTTTTTGAAACTATTTTGAAGAAGAGAGGTTCTTCTGCGCGGCAAAATTTTGGTCATCAAATCAATTGCCTGATTAGATTGGCCTAAAGTCCTCAGAGAGCATCGGTGAGAGCATTGAAGACACAAAGCAGTCGATAAAATTATTTTTCTGTTGCACTTTTAGTTCATTCGATACTTTAGTGTGAAAAACAGTCAACCCTAATATTTTAGCCTCTAACCCGTGTCTGTTGAAAAGCTATCTAGCGCCGACGTTTACCACTCTGATATTTTTG